CTTCAACTCAATGAGCCCCCTCTCATCGCAGTCCATGTTCTCGGCTCCCAGCAGCATCCCCTCCATGAACATGCCCTCCGGTATGGGCCACTCGGCCGTGCCGGGCATGGCCAACTCCGGCCTCAACAACATCAACAACATCAGCGGGTCCTCGCTCAACTCGGCCATGTCCTCCCCGGCCTGCCCCTACGGCCCACCGGGCTCGCCCTACAGCGTCTATCGGGACACTTGCAACTCCAGCTTAGCCAGCCTCAGACTGAAATCAAAGCAGCACTCCAGCTTCGGCTACAGCAGTTTGCAAAGCCCCGGCTCTAGTCTAAACGCCTGTCAGTATAACAGTTGACGGACTTGACACAAACCACCTCCGACAAAACATCGCCGACAAAGCAAAGCAGAAGCAAAGCGACGTTTAACGGAAAAGGAAAAAAAAAAAAAAAAAAAGAAATATATAAATATTAAACCCTGATGATGATTAAAAAGAAAAACCCGAGCAAGTGAGAGAGGAAAAAACCAAACCACACAAACCAAAACGCCACCGAAAATAAAGCCCAAAAAGCTCCGCGGACTTCTACTGTCTAGATAAAAATACTAATGCAAACCAACGATGCAACCAATAGAGCGCTTAACTAAAAAGAAATAATAAATAAAAATAAACCATCAAAAACCGTAAACGGACCAGAAAACTTTTGCAAGAGACACCGAAATCTGGTACATGGATGAGTTGCAATTTTTTTTCTCTGGATTATGCGGGTTGTATGTGTTTACTTGAACTTGCACAGGAGTTGGTAAGGCGGCCGCTTCCCCGCGGGGAGGGCGGCGAGGGAGGGTGGGAATAAGGGAGGGAATAAGGGAGGGAAAAAGGAAGGAGGGAGGAAGGGAGGGAAGGAGACGCCTCGGTGGTAAGAGCTGATGGGACGGTTCTTGGCCGCTTTTCGCCCGGGCAGAGTTTGGTTAATGTTTACCACTGAGAACCAGAATCACACTCGGAAAACACAAAAAAAAAAAAAAAAAAAAAAAAAGATGGAGGGGGGAAGAAAAAAAATCCTATAATTCGCAGAATAGATTCTGCAGGAAAAATGGTTAAAATAATAGGTATGAAACTATTAAAAATAATAATGACAAGGGTCAACCACTTATATAAGGTTATATTTATATCTACCGTTGCATTGTGCCGGATCATTGTCCTTGGCCGTTGAATAAACTGTTTTTAAAATGCATGATTCTTGATGTTTTTTCTTTAGTTGGAAGCTATAATCCAGTCATTCCTGATCTTAAGCAGCTCAAGGTTCCTACCTCTTCGTCCTTTCCAAAAGACTGCAGTATCCCCGGTTGTGAGAGAGCACAGAAACCCTCCAGCGAGGCGAAAACTGTTCAGCATCTTCCCCATTCAAAGTCTTATCCTGATAATGAAATTATCATTCATCTTTATTGAAACGCAGGGGTTATTTTTCTCTCTAAAAACAAAACAAACAACAAAACAAAACTAAAACCCCAAAACCCCTTTTAGAGAGTCTAGGGGGAAAAAAAGAGACACAAAATGGTCTGTTATGAAGTGAAGCCAGATACTGCATCTCTGCTAAGGAAACAGCGAGCCTCGGCGTCCGGAAAGGTTGTTTAGCAAAGCTGAAAGCTTTCCTTGCTTTTCTAACTGTGAGGAAAAACAAGGAACAAAAAAACCCCCCCCGATCTTAAGGTGTTATTATCTTAAGGTGTTATTATGTAAATGTAGATACTTTTAAGAAGTGCTTGTTGGCAAAAAAAGAAAACAAAAAAAAGAAATTATAAATATGATCTTTATTAATACTCATACAAAGCGCATATGAAGTTTTATTGCAGGCATATTTGTTGCTTATTTTCTTTTTGTCGATACTTATTACCTGTAGATGACAAAGAAACATCAAATGCACCCGGTAATTCTTTCCCAGTGTATTTCACACCTGTGGTAAACGTTACGCTGGATGTTTCACTTATGCTGTTGTGGATAAGGATGCGGTATATATATTGTTTTATAAGTTATGTTTTGTGATTTTAATTCTTTTTTTTTTTTTTTCCAAAAGTAAAAGCATGGGAATAAAAAGGAAAAAAAGTAAACAAGAAAAAAAATACAAAACCGAAACGAAATCTAGAAATGCCTTTAATGTTCTTTTCTGGCTGTGTGTAAGAGATCGATTAAACAAGAAGAACAGTAGCTTCCCTCATCCCGACCGCCCCATGGGGGTATTTTGGGGGGATCCCACCTCTTCCCCCCGCGAATTGCGCCCTTGTCCCGCACCCTCCTTGCGGCTTGGGAAGGCGGGACCCCGTCCCGAGGGCAGCCCCGGTTCTGGAATTAACCCCCCGTTAATTTGGTGT